TTTTATACTTACCACTTACAAGCTTTTGTTGTCTACTACTTTTGATCTCCCTTGACAGCATTGCTAAATTCATGTGCGCAAAGGATAGGTTTGTAAATGATAGGGCCAGTCAGGATATTCCTCACGACACATTGGTCCAATGACTTATTATCAACCCACAATATCCATTCCCTTCAGTGCAAGCAAAGCCAAAACAAATAACAAAACAAACCGTAAAAGTGGTACAAAGCATCGTTGCGTTTTAGCCATAATCTGTAGCCGACAGTCAAAATAAACTCATACATGTAGTAGATTTAATCAAAAGCATTCCAATTTTGCTCTCCCGACTCATTACTGTCATCATTTCCTTCCGTATCCCAAATGACGAAGTAAAGGAATACGATTGGGGATTAGAATTTGTGGTGTTATTTGTTGATTTGTCTGTTAACTCTTCCATGTCTAGTTGATTGTAATTTGCTATTTTGTTTAACTTCGCCTTTTGGATGCGATGCAGTTAAGTTTATAGACCTCGAAACCAAGCAGTCGCCAAAATTCCCTCGACATGCCGTAACCCATTGATGATCAATAACGAATAGTCCCTAAACAAATGCGTCTGCTCCTTCAAGGGATTTGAAAACCAAGGAAGAATAAGTTAACAAGGAACATGCCACATGATTGTCAATTCGCTTTTATGTCCTGTCTTTGCCCTGAACGCGTACATTTTTGATCTGTTTTTGCTCATCTTGGGTTCGTTCCTTCCTAATGCCAAAAGCTATGCACAGTCGTCAAGGCGTGAATACGACATTCGACACTTTACTATAATAATTAAGACTTTCTGAATTCCGAGTTCTCTTGCCAGACACATAAGAAATGCATATGGCTTATTATTACGCAGATTTGGTACTCACCTGAACGTAGGGACTTCCTAGTTCACTCCGTTTTACTTTTGCTGTGAGGTATTATTTTCATTAGTGGCTACAGCCTTCCAGACACCGTGAGCGGCAAACTTCATCTCCATTCGTACTAATGCAATCATTTGCGGAGAAGGGGCAACTAACAATCGAAAGAGAAATGCTGACGCTGCCAATATTTTTTCACAACATTAGGAATAAAATATATGGGACTCTTACACAATGGAGACTTGACAACGCAGCCAACCACTTGCGGTTTCTGCTCTAAGTGATCTCTCTTATTCTTCCCTTGTTTGTCCATGTGTCTACTTAGTATGGCTGAAGTCTAAGCTAATTTATTGATGGGTTGCCTTTGCTCCTCAATGGACAGGATTCTTCTAGGACCACAAACGCGTTTCAGAGACGCTTAATGCACCCATTCTTTCTTAGAGGATACTCCCGGATTCTTTGTGTAAGGGAAAGTTTAAACGACAACTTAAGTACCATTTTCTATACTGACAGCGACCTTATCCATGTATGGGTCCGCCAATTCCAACTTTTTCATCACCTCATGCAATAGACCTGCTTTAAAGATTTGCCCCATTATTTTAACAATTCTGTGCAATCGTGCTTCTAGGCAATGAGGCTGTACATTTAGTGCATGTATTTTATATCCCTTCATCTCCTTCCCTCGGGGTTAGCGAATATCAAAGTCAAGAACATCTAGACTCACATCATGAAGACACGTGTATCGAAAATGACAGAAGACTGAGTTTTCTTCACCTTCGATTTCAACGGAGACATTCAAACGAATAGCACTGAGAACTGCGGATTTGTTTGTCCCTTTTTGTCTGTAATGCATCATGAAAAACTGCTAAGGCACTGACTTTTTCCATGACAATAGGCCATTGTTGGCGATTAGGCGCTTTACGAACAGACTTACCGAGGATGTACCACAAATCCATTTCACCACCCAGTGTCTGCACTTTAATTACCGCTTGTTTCAATAAATTGTCGGATTCTCGAGTAAACTTTTGTAGAATCTTCGATTTCAAGTCGTTGTCCTCATCCCTAAAACGCATTTTACACTGCTACCTAAATGCGTTAATGAGTAAGTACGAAAATTGATGAGACGAGCCGACTTACGCAAACAGCACACTAGATTCAAAAGATTAGTATGTGCACACTAACGGCAAAATGGGCTTTCTCTGTCTTCAATCTAGACGCAGTATGAAGCTTATACTAAGAAATGTAATTTGGAATTGGAAAAACATGGGCATTTAATTCAACGATTCTGTGCGATTGGTCCAATGACTTATTATCAACCCACAATATCCATTCCCTTCAGTGCAAGCAAAGCCAAAACAAATAACAAAACAAACCGTAAAAGTGGTACAAAGCATCGTTGCGTTTTAGCCATAATCTGTAGCCGACAGTCAAAATAAACTCATACATGTAGTAGATTTAATCAAAAGCATTCCAATTTTGCTCTCCCGACTCATTACTGTCATCATTTCCTTCCGTATCCCAAATGACGAAGTAAAGGAATACGATTGGGGATTAGAATTTGTGGTGTTATTTGTTGATTTGTCTGTTAACTCTTCCATGTCTAGTTGATTGTAATTTGCTATTTTGTTTAACTTCGCCTTTTGGATGCGATGCAGTTAAGTTTATAGACCTCGAAACCAAGCAGTCGCCAAAATTCCCTCGACATGCCGTAACCCATTGATGATCAATAACGAATAGTCCCTAAACAAATGCGTCTGCTCCTTCAAGGGATTTGAAAACCAAGGAAGAATAAGTTAACAAGGAACATGCCACATGATTGTCAATTCGCTTTTATGTCCTGTCTTTGCCCTGAACGCGTACATTTTTGATCTGTTTTTGCTCATCTTGGGTTCGTTCCTTCCTAATGCCAAAAGCTATGCACAGTCGTCAAGGCGTGAATACGACATTCGACACTTTACTATAATAATTAAGACTTTCTGAATTCCGAGTTCTCTTGCCAGACACATAAGAAATGCATATGGCTTATTATTACGCAGATTTGGTACTCACCTGAACGTAGGGACTTCCTAGTTCACTCCGTTTTACTTTTGCTGTGAGGTATTATTTTCATTAGTGGCTACAGCCTTCCAGACACCGTGAGCGGCAAACTTCATCTCCATTCGTACTAATGCAATCATTTGCGGAGAAGGGGCAACTAACAATCGAAAGAGAAATGCTGACGCTGCCAATATTTTTTCACAACATTAGGAATAAAATATATGGGACTCTTACACAATGGAGACTTGACAACGCAGCCAACCACTTGCGGTTTCTGCTCTAAGTGATCTCTCTTATTCTTCCCTTGTTTGTCCATGTGTCTACTTAGTATGGCTGAAGTCTAAGCTAATTTATTGATGGGTTGCCTTTGCTCCTCAATGGACAGGATTCTTCTAGGACCACAAACGCGTTTCAGAGACGCTTAATGCACCCATTCTTTCTTAGAGGATACTCCCGGATTCTTTGTGTAAGGGAAAGTTTAAACGACAACTTAAGTACCATTTTCTATACTGACAGCGACCTTATCCATGTATGGGTCCGCCAATTCCAACTTTTTCATCACCTCATGCAATAGACCTGCTTTAAAGATTTGCCCCATTATTTTAACAATTCTGTGCAATCGTGCTTCTAGGCAATGAGGCTGTACATTTAGTGCATGTATTTTATATCCCTTCATCTCCTTCCCTCGGGGTTAGCGAATATCAAAGTCAAGAACATCTAGACTCACATCATGAAGACACGTGTATCGAAAATGACAGAAGACTGAGTTTTCTTCACCTTCGATTTCAACGGAGACATTCAAACGAATAGCACTGAGAACTGCGGATTTGTTTGTCCCTTTTTGTCTGTAATGCATCATGAAAAACTGCTAAGGCACTGACTTTTTCCATGACAATAGGCCATTGTTGGCGATTAGGCGCTTTACGAACAGACTTACCGAGGATGTACCACAAATCCATTTCACCACCCAGTGTCTGCACTTTAATTACCGCTTGTTTCAATAAATTGTCGGATTCTCGAGTAAACTTTTGTAGAATCTTCGATTTCAAGTCGTTGTCCTCATCCCTAAAACGCATTTTACACTGCTACCTAAATGCGTTAATGAGTAAGTACGAAAATTGATGAGACGAGCCGACTTACGCAAACAGCACACTAGATTCAAAAGATTAGTATGTGCACACTAACGGCAAAATGGGCTTTCTCTGTCTTCAATCTAGACGCAGTATGAAGCTTATACTAAGAAATGTAATTTGGAATTGGAAAAACATGGGCATTTAATTCAACGATTCTGTGCG